CTGAGTTTCAGCTAAGGCGCATGCGTTGCATCCGGTTTCTTTCATTCCCTATTTCATCGATATCAAAACAGACAAATCTAAGGAGGGGGACGACACGTTGCTCAACAACAACAACAACAAAGGCAAGAAGAAAAGTACGGTTGAAGGCTAGCTCAATGCAGAACAACACAGTTTTTAACTTTTCAAAATCATGTAAGAGATATTAGAGAGAGACCACAGACACCTGTTCAACAACGGACCTAGAATCTGCTACGTGCTACACCGGTAGACCTTCTCCCAGGGGTAAAGAAAGGCTCGCCCCTCAGAACTTTACTAAAATACTAATGGAATTTTCGGCCATGAATTAGTAAGTATCAATAGTAACGACTGTAGTTAAGCTGCCGGAGCCGGACATTTAAATTCTCTGAGTGCCCGCCTTCCCATCTGTGCAGGTGGAGGGTGACAGCAGCTTGACCTCGGGGGGAGTGAGAACACTGGCACACTCTGGAATCTGGGCACTCCAGTGCCTGTTAATATTGCACTAAGGACGAGTCATCTGTTTTCCATTATCTTTAGTGTACTTATATAATTTTTCTACTGGAAAAAAAAACAGTTACAAATTATTCTTATTTAAAATAAGGGCCCCAGGTCCTAACAAGAAGGGAACCCGGTGCAGTAGCCTAGCAGCCGGAGTCCTTGCCTTGTGTGTGTGCCAGGATCCCATATGGGCACCAGTCCTAATCCTGGCAGCCCTGCTTCCCATCCAGCTCTCTGTTTGCAGCCTGGGAAAGCAGTCAAGGACATCCCAGAACCTTGGGATCCTGCACCCGTGTGGGAGACCCAGAGGAGGATCCTGGCTCCTGGCTTCTGATCCGAACATTGCGGTCACTTGAGGGAGTGAACCAGCGGATGGAGGATCTTCCTTTCTGCCTCTCCTCCTCTTTGTAATCTGGTTTTCCAATTAAAAAAAAAAAGAAGCATGTAAAGATACTACAAATAAATAACAGCAGTTTATGTAAAAGGTCAAATGAAGAATAATTTTTAAAAAAGAGAAAGAACACATCCCACTCGGAGAAGCACACGGATGTCAGAGCAGCATCATGTTCAAGCTGACTTTTGTGGACTGGGGAAGCAGAGTAAAGAAAAGCACAAAGCATTCGCAATGATTGGATCATCAAGCCAACTCAGAATCTTGCCAGTGTAAAGGCCATCCAGTCAACTTCCCGCCCCGTGTCAAGCTCCCTTGCAACCCACTTACAGCTTCCTGTTCGCATTAAGAAGGAAGGGACTCTATACCTTACGGAGCATCCCACTCCATTGTTGGGCCCTCGGTTTTAGTAGAGAACGCTTTGTGGGGTAGAGTCCCAACTCTGCTTCTGAGTTCAGCTCCTCTGCCTGGGAAAGAGTAGGTGACACCTCAAGCGACAGTCACCAACCTAGGAGATCTGGGTTGAATTCCAAGCTCCCAGCTACTCCTTCATCCAGCCCCAGTCACCGAAAGCCGAGGCGGAATGAACCAGCATATGGAACATTTGTTCTCTCTTTTTCCCATGGCTGTCTGTCTGTCTGTCTCTCTCTCCCTCTCTCATATCTTTCCTCCATCTCTCTCTTTCCCTCCATCTCTCTCCTTCTCTCTGTAAATCTACCCTTCAAACCAAAGTACATAAATCTTTAAGCAGAAACAAAGTGTTTCCATGTATGGACACTCATTTGCTGTTTTATTCACAGACACACAAATCATTAACAAACTCCAAACAACATGCCCACGGCAGCAGATGCATCTGAGGTGTAGCACTCACTTCAGTGTGACCCATCGATGCCATGGAGCCTTCACCAACTGCATGGCCGTGACACTTGTGTCCAGTGGGGCAATACCTCAGAAGTACTCCCAACTCCATAGTTTTCAAATGCCAAAGAGAGTCCTCCAAGTTGAGGTAAGAATATATGATTCCCTGGGCCCGGCGCGGTGGCACAGTGGACAAGGTCCTCGCCTTGCATGCCCGGGATCCCATATGGGTGACAGTTCTAATCCTGGCAGCCCCGCTTCCCTGCCAGCTCCCTGCCTGTGGCCCGGGAAAGCAGTCGAGGACAGCCCAAAGCCTTGGGACCCTGCACCCGTGTGGGAGACCCAGAAGAGGCTCCTGGCTCGGATCGGATGCACTCACTTGGGGAGTGAATCATCGGGCGGAAGATCTTCCTCTCTGTCTCCTCCTCTCTGTATATCCGCCTTTCCAATACAAAAATAATAAAAATAAATCTTTAAAAAAAAGAAAAGAATATATGATTTCTGTGGAAAGTGGGAAATCGAAACTGTGAAAGTAATGACACTTTTACTTTTTATAACAGTAGAATTGGCTCTTGAGAGACATGAAACACACACAACATGTGAAAACCTGTGATTGTCAGCATAAAGAGTAAAGACAGCAGGTAAACAGATATGCAGCCTGAGAACTCAATTGGAGAATACTAGAAATACACTTAGCAACTTAAAGGCTCAACCTTGGTAAGCCGCTTTACCCTAAGCCTGTAGGTCTGAGGCCTGTTAGGAAAGAAACAACACAGTCAGGGCAACACTTGCAGGTGGATCCACCACATCTACCGCAGCCTGTCTGAAAACCTCGAAGTCGATTCAACACTGAACTACCAACAGGGAGAGCATCACACGCCTGGGCCGAGAAGAGGGACGAGTCAGTTCACGGTTTGAGACCTAGGCAGATGGCTCAAACATGTTCAAATGAAGTGCTTCCTTCCTGTTTTACAACAAACAGATTCCTGATGGATCAAATTCTTAAGAAGAAAGCAAGCAAGCAAGCAAGCAAGCAAGCTATCAGAAGGAAGACTTGAAGACTTCCAGAATAGCAAAGGCTTCTAAAACAAAAAAATCTTACATGCAAAAACAGTCAACAAAGAGTAAGCTTACAAAGCATATTTTGAATCCATCTCATGGGTCAAGATTCTGCTCCACCCCACATCAAGCTCTCCCGCCAATTACTTAAAAAAAAAAATTCAACAATCATTGGAAACTGTAAGCCAGGTATAGCAGCAGTTTCCAGAAAATACGGTAGCTCTTCATCACATGAAATAAAAATGCTTCAATCAAATGAATAAGAGAAATATACAGTAAAATCGGCTCACATACTTTCACAAAAACAGCAGAGTTCGGCAACAGTGACAGTATTTTTGGCCACTGATGGTGAACCAGAAGCTGGAATAACTTCATCAGGCACTATCCATCAGGATCGCAAACGCGTCATCTTTGGCCTTGTCAATCTACCCTTGCGACATCGCAACACAGGGCGTGTCTGTTGTGTATAAGGTGACTGACCACCCGTTGTTCATCGAAGCTAGGAAAACAACCAGAGTATCCATCACTATCAAACTGCCAAGCAGCGCTTTTCAAAATGAGGCAAATCTTTATATTCAAGGCCCGAACACACTTCTAAAGACACAGGGTTCAGCGAGAAAGGCTGCGCCATCCTACTGCGTGTGTTAATTAGAGAAAGCTCAGCAGATGATCTGAGGAACTTCTGCTCAAGCAAGTGGGGAAGGTTTCTGGAAGGATTCGGTAAGCTACTGCCAGCGGTTACTTCCTTCCAGGCGCACCTGACAGCTGAAGCTTAATGACAGAACTCAGACCAACTTCTGACGGCCGCGTGCGTTCGTGTCCTGAAGCACAAACATGTATTTTCTGTCCTACAGAAACTCAAACAGGAGACTCCTGCTATCACCAGCAAAACCGCGAGCTCGCATCGGCCATGAGCACGGTGCCCCAGTCACAAAAGGCACCTTTTGGTACAGTCATTCTTTCTTTTTTTTTTTTTAAAGATTTATTTTTATTATTTTTGTATTGGAAAGGCGGATATACAGAGAGGAGAGACAGAGAGGAAGATCTTCCGCCCGATGATTCACTCCCCAAGTGAGCGCAATGGCCGATGCTATGCCGATCCGAAGCCAGGAGCCTCTTCCAGGTCTCCCACGCGGGTGCAGGGTCCCAAAGCTTTGGGCCGTCCTCAACTGCTTTCCCGGGCCACAGGCAGGAAGCTGGAAGGGAAGCGGGGCTGCCAGGATTAGAACTGTCACCCATATGGGATCCCGGGCATGCAAGGTGAGGACTTAACCACTTGCGCCACCGCGCCGGGTCCGGTACAGTCATTCTTTTGCAGGATGAAGGAAATCATTCTGTTCAAACTTTGGCCACCTTTCAATACAGCCTAATGCAGGCAGGCGGGGCTGCAGGGCCCTCCAAACATGTCCCCGGCAAGCTTGGCAATCCTTCCAGGAAGCATGTTCTTATTGGTGCAGGGCAGGGCAGGGGAAACAGCCGAAAACTGGTATCAAGGAAACTGACCTCAAGGATACCTGCCTGGCCCCCCAAGGAGGTGTCCCCTCAACACTCACCCCTGCTTGACAAGTGGGGTCATGTGAGTGGATGGGAAGAAACTCATTCACGTTCTCACAGGATCTAAGCAGAGGAGCTGGCCAGGAAGTCAGCTGCTTGCATTCCCTTGCTGCCCACAGTAGCCACACCTGGGGCAGGGGCTCCGTCTTAGTCCTTTCCTGCATACTCCCAAGTTCATGCCTACTGAGTCAAGTTTAGCCCACCACATACCCCCGCTAACCCCCCCCCCCCCAAAGCCCAGGTTGACCGACATTTTTATTAGCAATAATCTCTGCCGCCTTCTGGTTCTCTAGAGATTTAAGACCTTGTAATCATCCTCCACTCTGTCCTCCGGGGAGAGGAGAGGAGGGGAGGGCAGGGAAGAGGAAGCCAGCTAAGAGGCTTCAAATCCTCCTGAACCTTTGCATCCTCTGTATCAGCCACCAGCCGCCTGCTAGCTGGGTACAGACCTGCAAGGCCCCCAGGAAGCTTCAGTTCCAAGACAATGTCTGGGACCCCAGCTGTTATGCAGGTGCCTCTGAGACACTACAGGGCATATGCTCCGTCCTGCTCTGGGCAGTGAGCAGGCCAGGCACCCTGCGACAGCCCGGCAGAGAGAGCAAGAGGCCCCGCTGGCGCAGCCATGCTTAAGCAGACCAATGAGAGACGGCGGTCTTGGAGCTACAGGCCCTGGAGCCTAGGGGAGAGTGAGGATGCCATTGGCACCGAGAGCAGCCAGCCACGCATGAGCATCTGCTCCGTGGGGGTCCGTCCCAGCTCCCAGGCCAGCATCCCGCCCTGGACAGAGGGCAACTACAACTACTACATTGAAGATGACATGGACGGAGCAGAGGAAGAAGACTGGAACGACGACCTCGTAGAGGACGACCAGCCAGCTGAGGGTGTCACCTCCATCCACACAGATGACCACAGCGACACTCCCGCCCAGGTGTCCATGTTGAACGTGAACGTGGGCGGCCACAGCTACCAGCTGGATTACTGCGAGCTGGCCAGCCACCCCAAGACGCGCCTGGGCCGTCTGGCCACTTCCACCAGCCGCAGCCGCCAGCTGGGCCTGTGTGACGACTACGAGGCCCAGACAGACGAATACTTTTTCGATCGTGATCCGGCTGTCTTCCAGCTCATTTACAACTTTTACGTGTCTGGGGTGCTGCTGGTGCGGGACGAGCTGTGCCCCCGCAGGTTCCTGGAGGAGCTGGGCTACTGGGGTGTGCGCCTCAAGTACACGCCGCGCTGCTGCCGCATCAGCTTCGAGGAGCGGCGCGACGAGCTGAGCGAGCAGCTCAAGATCCAGCGTGAACTGCGCGCTCAGGCACAGGCCGAGGAGGCCGAGGAGCTCTTCCGAGACATGCGTTTCTATGGACCGCAGCGGCAGCGCCTCTGGAACCTCATGGAAAAGCCCTTCTCATCCGTGGCTGCCAAGGTCATGGGCGTGGCCTCCAACCTCTTCGTGCTCATCTCGGTCGTGGCGCTGGCACTCAACACGGTGGAGGAGATGCAGCACGAGGCAGAGCAGGGCACTGGCGGTGGCGACCCACGACCCATCCTGGAACACGTGGAGATGCTGTGCGTGGCCTTCTTCACGCTGGAGTATCTGCTGCGCCTCATCTCCACGCCGGACCTGCAGCGGTTTGCGCGCAGCGCCCTCAACCTTGTGGACCTGGTGGCCATCCTTCCGCTCTATCTGCAGCTGATGTTGGAGCGGTTCACCGGGGAGGATCCGGGCCACGGCAAGGGCTCACCACGGGAGCACGACCTGGAGACAGTGGGCCGCGTGGGCAAGGTGGGCCAGGTGCTGCGCATCATGCGCCTCATGCGTATCTTCCGCATCCTCAAGCTGGCCCGCCACTCCACTGGCCTGCGCGCCTTCGGCTTCACCCTCCGCCAGTGCTACCAGCAGGTGGGCTGCCTGATGCTCTTCATCACCATGGGCATCTTCTCCTTCTCCGCCGCCGTCTACTCGGTGGAGCACGACGTGCCGGGGACCAACTTCACCAGCATCCTGCACGCCTGGTGGTGGGCTGCGGTGAGTACCCTGGTCCTCAGGCTTTTCCCTTCCTTTTCCCCAGCCCTGCACGAGCAGCCTCCTCCTTCTCCCTGGCTACTGGCCTTCCGGCTTTACCACCTTAGCTTTTTCACCTCCCAGTAATGGCATGGAGGTAGAGCAAGACCATCACTCCCTCCCAGAAGATACAGTCAATGTTAAAGGGTTCAGTGAACTGACCTTAAACCCAGCAAGTCACTGAATTTGACTCGATCCTTGCCATCGCCCAACCTGGATTTAGTCATCAAACTCATGACAGGCAGGTGTCAAAACACATTCGTTGTTCATGGATGCCAGATGCACTTTCATCAGGACTGTAATTTACCATTTATTGAGCACCTAGTTGTTAAATGGTTGAAAATGCTGATCTCAGTGAGGCATCTCTCTCCCTGGGACATGGCTATGACCATGCTTTTGGTGGTGGTGGTGGTGTTAAGCAGGAAGCAGCGTCCACATTTATACGACTCAACACTGTGGACACGAAGCCCACTGCCTCCTGCTGCAGTGAAGTCTGAGCAAGGAAAGAAGCATTTAAAGCTAAAATTGGAGCTTTCAAGATCAAATATGATTGCCCATTGCACAGCTAGAAAAGCTGAGGTTGAGTGTCAAACAGATACAGCTGGAGACAGGAGAGCCAGGATCAAAATCTTAAACTTCTTTCAACTCCAAAAGCGTGCATCCTTTCCATCCCCCACCATTTTCCTGTTGCACCTTAGGTTTTATTTTGTTGGTTGCTTTTTGTACACCTTGCCGGGCTTATTAGCATATTGTGTTTTTCTCCATTGTTTTCTCTAGCATTTTTTTTTCCTGGCAATTTATCCCGTGTGCTCAACTATCATCATTTCTAACTGTGCTATATTCAAACCAGGAAACTGACGCTAATATGGTCTTTTCAGATTAATGGGTAAATTGTCATATAAATATGTATAAAGCAAAAAAAAACATTGCATAGTATTAGTATTCTTAAGTAGAATTCAACGTTAGCATGGGTTATGTCAGAGCCCTGCAGTTTGCGGGCAGGGTCCCTCTGAGATAAACCAACCCTATCTAGCACTAAAAGCACAGCAAAGCAGGCTGGAAGTTGAAGCAGCCAGGACTTGAAGCCCAGATCTGATGGAGTTAACTGTGGCCGTGAAACCTCACCCCATCGCTCCCACTTCTCGGTTTTCACATCTCGGCAAGGAGAGGTTGCATCTACACAGCTCTTCCTTTCCATGACTCTTCGCTCCCTTGAAAGCAAAGAGCTCCTAGCTGCACCAGGATTTGCCTGAGTTCCCTTTCATGACAGTGCCTTGTTAGACTCTTCTGAACAAGCGAGCCCAGTACTACTCCCCTGATCGTATTCCAGGCGACGAAAGGTCATCCTCATAGCCGATGAGCTGTGTGTACAGATGGGGCTCATGGAAGATAATTCGCACCCCCTGCATATGACATTTACAGTGGAGGTGACTTGAGGAGGAAGGCAAAAGAGCAAATCCGCGTGGTGATGGTATCATATGATGCTTTAGAGTGGAATTTCTACTCATCTAAATCTCTCTCTTTTTAAAGATTTCTTTACTGAACTTGAAAGTTAGAGTGATAGAGAGTGGAGGAAACAGAGAAAATGTCCACCCAGTGGTCACTTCCCCCTCGCCCCCCCCCCCAATGACTGTGATGGCGGGAATCAGGGGGCTGATCTGAAGCCTGGAGCCAGAGGCTCCGTCTAGGTCTCTTCAGGGGTCCAGGGGCACAAAGACTTGAGCAAGCCTTTGCTGCTTTCCCAGGCCATGAGCAGGGAGGTAGACCAGAAGTAGAGCAGCTGGGACTCAAATCAGCACCGATGCGAGTAGAAGGTTAGCTGACTATACCAATGTGCTGGCCTCTCACCTAAAGCTATTAAAAGACTAGTAAACTTTCTTGTGCTAACTTTACTCAGCAAGGCTTCATTCTAGTATTCAAAAACTTAAAAAAAATATTTCGGTAAGACTTGTGTTACTAACTCTAGATATGTTTTTACTTGAAAATAATTTCCTACAGGAAATAACCACTGATCCCACTTATCCTCCTGGCCCGTAGCACGTACAATGCAGCGGAACACTTTGAAACATTAAAATGATTGCCTCTGTGTGTTAACAGCAATAACTGTACCGAAGATCAATGTTTTACACAAGTTTTACAACAGAAAAATCAAACTAAGGCTGACGCAGTGCTGCAGCCAACTACTCTTGGCTTCTCATCAGCTCAGCTCAGCTCTAGCCACTGTGACCCGTTGGGGCACACACTAGGACACAGCAGATCTCTCTGTGTCTCTGCTTCTCTTTGTGGGTCTGCCTTTCAGACGAAAGCCAATAAATCTTTTTTTTTTTTTTTTTTCTGTAGAAAAAGAAATCTGTCAATTTTCACTGGTTATTTACCCGTGATTGCTTTGGACCATGCCAGCTATTTTCTGGGGTCATTCTCTCTCTCTAACCAAGTGCTGTTTCCACAGGCCAGATTTTGTGCATGTTAACCTTTCCGTTTATCAACCTCCAAGCAGCTTCATCCGTTTTTATGACTATTTATGTCAGTAGAACCGTTACGAATTGGCCTGAAACTAACCTGTAAACACTTGCCGTGAAGGGTCCTTGGTTTGCTCTTCCCCCTGGTATTCGCGTATCATCCAACCAGTTAATCTCCATATCTCTGCTTAGACCACAGAAGGGTCCATACCCCCAGTAGGCAAAAAGAAAAGAACACCATTGAGGTGGTACAAAGTGAAAAATGAAGCATTTGGGTAACAGTTCCCAACGCAAGCCACAAACATCCAAGTTATTCGCTGAGCCGAAAGTTCCTGAGCATCTAAAACGTTCCAAGTAGTTGGAACACACTGTAGGGGCCACAGTGTGATAAATGACAAGATCTTTTCCCTTGCAGTGCTTACAGGCTAAGTGGAAAGTGACACATAATAAATGCTTTCAGGTACCAGTGTATTTATCCTGCATAATAGTGAAGACAGTGATTTGAGCGGCAGAAACCACCTGTTGATAGATGAACGCGCCAACAGTTAGAGGAGCAGTCTTAGAGACAGAAGACCTTGAGACTGAAAGTTTGATGTTGAGAAGAAACTTCTCTAAATCCACACAACTAAGCAACCACAGGAAGTGAAAGCCCAAAAGTGATGCTGACCCAGAGACCTGCAAGTATTTCATCGATCATGCAACTCAAAAGATCCCAGCATGTGCTCATGATAAATCTGTTTTTAACTCCTCTGTGCCATTTACTGCTGTGTCGGTGATGTGTTGCTGGATGCCACCTCACAGCCCTGTGGCTTCAGGCATCAGGCATTTATTCAGCTCATGAATCTTAAAGTCGGCCACTTAGTCGGCCCTCATCTAGACAGTTCTTTCTATTTGGGCTGGTCGCACTCAGCCACTCTCTCTCTCTGACGATCAGCTTCCTGACAGCTAGGATGAGAGGGGACACCAGACTGTTTCTGCTAGTTAGCAGGAATGTGCCCTGCTGTAGCAGAGGGCACATTGTGAAAGCAAGCCCACGCCATGCAAGCAACTACCATCAACTTCTGTGCTTTCCCTTGTCCGACCTATTAGTCCAAACAAGTCAGTGGCAAAATTCAGAGTCAAAGAGCAGGACAGGTTAGCTCAGCCACAATAGGAAATCACTGCAAAGCACTGAGGCAAAGAGCTTAGATAGAGGAGGACTGAGTTCAGTAATACAATCATTCTACTGCACTCATGTATTCCCATTCAAATGGACCATCCTCATCAGGAAACACACAGCTGTAAATAGCAAAGTTACAGATAGTGTAAAGAAAAGTATGATTCATACTCTGCTACTGTTGCAGAGGCGTGGCCCCTTGTCAACTGTTCGCCTCACATTAGAGACAGACTGTCTCGTCCATTCTCCTATGCATCTTTATACATTCAGACAATCCCAAATCTGACTTGCCTTCAATCATTTTTTCCCTCTATCTCTATGCCAAGGATCCTGCAGTCTTTCTCTGTAATTCAATTCAGAGTTTTAGGAGGAATAATTTCCATGATTGTGAATTCAACAGCTGCAAAGTAAATCCCTCACGGATGCTGACGTCTGCCAACACTCATTCGTCAGGATCTGACATTGACTCATGTTTTCTGTCCAATGGTAGTTCTTTGTGAGTCCTGATGTAATTGAGGAACATAGATAACAGGTTAGCCTGCAGTAACTTCACAATAAATGCAGGCGTGCATATCTAGAGAGTTGACAGGGAACCAATACGTTTTGTTTCCAGACTTATTTCTTGGGGGAAAATAAAACAGTAGTGTCTGCTTGCCCCTCTGGGGAAAGGGATGAACTGTGAGCCATACACAAAGGTCAACAATTCTAGCCTGGGAGAGCCCATACAGAGCCAGACAGCCCCAACCTCCCCACTTGAGGGCCTCTGGGTTGCTTGGCAGAATGGAGATGCCCAACGCAGCTCAATAGGCACAGGCGGCTCCCTGAGCAAGCTGCCATCATTGGCCTCCCGTGTGGGCACGTTTGAAATAGAAAGGCATACGTGGAGTTTCAACTGTTTCCTTCTGAGCTATCCAGAGCAAGCGAATGCGATGCAAATCAAAGCAGCAGCTATGCCTGACCCAGTCATTCCAAAAACTCTTCCAAAATGTCTCTCCAGCTGAAGCAACAGGTAATAAATTGTACACCCTGACCTCACTCACGTCTGCCTCGCTCAAGTATGATATCATTTACAATCTCTGCCATTTATTTGCTGACTGATTGGTTTGAGTGAGTCACATCTGGAAGGCGAGAGAGACAGAGATTAGACACGGGAAAACAACTGAAGCTAGGTGTTTTGAAAAGGAAGTCTATGACATAGGGAAATAGGTATGTAGATTTGGGAGGTAGGAAGAGCCAAAACCCAGGAACAGAGAACCCAGACACAGTAAGGATTAACTATTGGCTCCAGCACTGGAAGAAAACAAAGGAGAGGGTGGAGCTTTCTGGAACCTACGGGTACACAAGAGCAGCAGCCAGTGTGTGACTGCTACACAGACTCCTAAGAGAACACACTGTTTTTGCAAGAGTGCTCAAAAATTTCTCTGGCTGTTGGAGGAACGGTGACAGGGAGAAAGCTTAACCAGGTCTTCATTCCACCTTCCACTCTCCCGAGGGCATGTCTCATTGCTGAACACGACCAGAAGACAGCCGGTAAGGTGCTGAGAGGAATACAGTTTGTAGATCCCAGCCATAGCATGACAGGACAGAGTACAGGAGATGGGCGTCACCCTTGGGAATAAGAGACAATGAGTACAGAAGACACTAGAGTACTCATGGCTCCTTCCGAAATTGCATGGCAGCTGTCAGCAGGACAACGGTTAGTATGTCTTTCTGTGGTCTTCCTAGTGTCGAATGTGCTCCAAAAATGGAATAGAACAGAATCAGACATGGCAAGGAGAAGTACTGTGTGAGCCAAGGAGACATAGGGCACCATCACTGCATACCTTTCTGTACCAAGATAGAACTCAAATAGCCTTTGCTTTAGCCTGTGCTCATCTGTGCCCAGACACACAGATACTGTCCCGTTTACATAAATGTCCAAACTGTAACATCCCCATAAGGGTTGTTTTTCTCTTCCAGGTGGTCACCCATAACTTCATTCCAACATTGCTTCCACTAACCAAAACATTCTTTCAATTCCGCTGAGGGATCACCTTCAGAGCTTGGGATGTTTATGTCCACTGGCCTCTTTGTCACTGTTCTCGATCTACCGTCTTGAGGCCGGACTCTGTATCTTAAAATTGTTCCAAGACTTAAGTTTAGGAATAACATGCAGACTGAAGCACAAAGGTGTATGTGATCACTTGTGTCGAGTGGTAGTTTATGATGCAAAAGAAGAATCTGCAAAAATATCTGTTGGAATAGTAGCATGGCTAAATACAGCCTTTGAGGTTGACAACAGCGCCAAGATGTGTAGTACGTTAGTCTTTACTATCCAGTTTCTTTCTGGGAAATTGGAATAAGTAGTTCTTCAAAACGTAAGTTGCATTCCTTGGAATTCTAATATCTTCATAAATGGACCAGGAGGAGCCAATCTACACTTAGCTCATTGGGAAGAAAACAGACATTCCTTATTGCATGAGAAGTTCAAGTAGAATTACTCCCTGCTTTTTAGAGGACTAAACCCATCCTCCTGTTGGACAAAGCCAGGATTTGCTGATTGGTGAGTGAGCTGCTGGCGGAAGGCCACATTCTGACTCTTGGACACAGGCAAAGAAAATATGTATGTTTTCAGTTAATAGAGTGGCTGAGTCAGCCTGGTTTTTTTTTTTTTTTTCTCCCAGGCTACTAAAATGGATTTCAGACATTTTGGTCATGTTTCCAAACCCAACTCTTGCTAATGTGAGAACTCACTCAGAGGTCAGGTGGGCGAGGCTGAGGCTTGCAGCTTTTAATGCCCATCTAGGGAGAAATGCTTGGGCCTGCAGAATGTGGAGAAAACCTTCCTTGAAGACTAAGTCTAAGTTCTCCCCAGAGCCAACGGGCAAGAAACAGATCACTTGTTACATCCATTTATCCACAAAAAAACAGATGATACATAAATGAAGTGTAAGAATTTGAATAAACTCTTGGAGACCAGTCACACAGCCTCCCAGCAGTGGTGGGGTCCCTTCCTCCAAACACAGTGACCCCCATACTTAAAAAATATTTGGACCATATTCTATACTCATCCAATCTCTAAACCAAGTATCTTTGCTTTTGTCTTTTAAAAGTTCAGCCAAACAAACAAAAACGTTGAAGATAGGGGTCAAGCAAAGCCAGTGTGGGAATTGATTAAAAGTGTCAGCACTTTTTGTTCGTTTCCTTCTGCTAAGTTCTCCCCTTGTACTTATACACACCACCACACTCCCCACTCCTGGCTCCAAATTCCAGACACTCAAATGACTTGGCTTCTACCATGGCCTCTGTATTGGACTTATAGATCCTTCATGTTCTTTATTCCTTTCTGCCACTGACTCCTCTATTCAAAAAATACCCCTCAGACTCCTCCTGGGGAAACTGAGCCAACTAGATGCTTTTAAAACACAGGTGTGAGTGACGGTGCTGGTGGCTGTTGAAAGCTATTGCTGATATCGCATGCCCGGCTTTGGGTGTGGTCGGTAACAAGAGCGCAGGCACACACAACCACAAGCAGATGCTAAGATAAACCACCAAGCTTGTTTGATCATTGCCCCCTCAACAGCCTTTGGTCAAAAAGTAAGAAAACAAGATTCTCTTACTGGAGCTAGCAGGTGCCTTATAAGTCACAAGACATTCAGCAGGAGTCTAATTGGCATCCTCCTGTCATCTGGGGTCACCTTTAGGTTGTGTGGTCCTTGGGCAGTGCAGACACACTATCTATCCTAACATTACTGCTCACACTTCCTCTGCCAAGGCACTCCTTCAATTTCCATAAAAACCCTGGGAGGTAGATACTGACCCATGCCAAAAGCGGAAACCAAGGAAGAGAGAACTGAAGGGACCTGCCCGACTCACAGAGTTGGGAAGTGAATTCCGACCCAGGAAATGCTAGAAGCACACCTATACCCTCCTATGTCTTTCGTGTATCACAAGAATGGGTACTAGAAGCAGGAAGCGCTCATTTCTTACCAGAAACAGAGCGAGTCCTGCCATGCTACCAATCCAAAGGAGACACTCATCTTTCCCCTTTATAAGGGTTGGGTGCAGCTGTGCTTCCTATGAGCTGTACCAGATCGAGCCAGGGGGCTCACTCCTCCACTACCTTCTAAATGATCAGCACTTTTAAGTTCAAGCTAATTCTCATAGCACTGAAACAGAAACATTTACATTTTGAAGGGAAGGGCCACCTCAGGACAAGTCAAGGGGGTTACCTGGTATGCTTGACTGCCACCTGCTGAAACACTGTGCAGACAACCACACACAGGACTCTGAAGCACAGAGCGCCCCCTGGAGTTGTGCATTGCCAACAGGTTACCACTGGAAGACACAGTCCTTCTTAAAATGCTTCCAGTAAATTTAGTCAACAGTCTGGGGACCAAAAGCGAAACAATGAAGCATAAAAATCAGTCCCCAGGAGGGTCTCCCAGGATTCTTCTCTGGCAACAGTAACTGATAACTAGACCCATGGGTACCTGCATTCTGAAACACAAGCTTGTTAACCTAAATAAATCTCCAATTAGTGAGATTGGAGGCAATGTGACAAGAATAACGAGAAAAAAATTTCAAGCACTGAGAATACATTTTTGGTTGGTGATGTCTTACAAAGGTGCCTTGGCAAAAATAATGAGTAAATGTCTCTCCTGACATGGGCAATTAAGGCTCCTTCTCATGAAATATCTCATTTGAACTGCGGAACATTCCTGAGTGTTATAATTGTCTCCACTCTAAAGATAAGAGAAGGACAATAAGGGAGCTTAATGCCTTTTGTGTTCCTGGTACTGTGTGCTCTGGGTTTGTGCTCTTAATCTTCGTAATCCTCGGAGTTAGCGGCTCTCCTGTCTTAGATGAAAATGAATGTTTTATTCAAGGTTACTCAGTGGAGAAGGGTCAGTGTCAAGTCTAGCCTAGCCTGAGTGCTTTCCAATACATCCACGATGCAGCAAAGCCAGGGAGCCCCTGGTGCTAACACTGGCCTCAGCTGGTGCACAGGAGCCGAAGATCAACATTTACTGAGCACGTTCTTTCCAACAACCCTTTAAAGGGGCTGCTCATTCTCCTGTGCTGGACCTAAGAACATTTGGGAGTTACAGTCCAGATTTAAACCAAACCCTTACAGACTTCCAGGAACCCTCTAAAACTGGCTGTGTGGGGAGTCATTAAGCTTCTAAGGAGTACCTGCAAGGATGATAAAAAATGATACTTCCCTACCTGCTTCTCTCCTCTGCTGCTTCCTCAAAGTGCTAACAATCCCATCCTGCCTTCCTTCCTCTACAGGTGAGTATCTCCACTGTGGGTTATGGAGACATGTACCCGGAGACCCACCTGGGCAGGCTTTTTGCCTTCCTGTGCATTGCTTTTGGGATCATTCTCAATGGGATGCCCATCTCCATCCTCTACAACAAGTTCTCTGACTACTACAGCAAGCTCAAGGCGTACGAGTATACTGCCATTCGTCGGGAGAGGGGAAAGGTGAACTTCATGCAGAGAGCCAGAAAGAAACTGGCCGAGTGTTTGGTTGGAAGCAACTCACAGCCCGTCCCAAGGCAAGATCATTAATATTCTGTAGGATGGGTGCCCGGTAGGTTTCATGAACTTTCCATGACTTACCCCTTGATTAATTTATTTGAAAGGCACACTATCAGAAGGGATGGGCCACGTCATGTGGAGGGAAGAAAGAAACACAGATATTCCATCTGCTGGTTCACTCCTCAGATGGCCACACCATCTGGGATTGGTCCAGGAAGAAATCAGCAGCCAAGAACTCGATCCCAGTCTCCCCCATGGGTGAGTGAGTGGTACAGGCCAAGCAGGTGGACCATCATCAGCTGCTTTCCAAGAGCTAGATTGAGAGTGCAGCAGCTGGGACTCAAACCAGCACTTCAATATGGAATCCCAGTGTCCCAACAGTGGCTTCCCTTGCAGCACCATGACACTGACCAGCTTGCCCTGCTGTGTCTGTGCATAGGTGTGTGTGCGTGTGTTTGTGTGTGTATTTTAAGAAGCACCAAGACTGACAAAAAAAGCATACGTGAAACAGACATACACAGAGCGCATTTAGTTCACCATGCGCTGCCTCAAGAAATGTTCATCTTGGACCTAAGATGGAATGCCTCGACTTACTCTACACTGGTATGAGTCACAGTAACGTTGAAGTTGAACGCTGCTCAACAGAATATCTCGGATTTCTCTCAAAGCTGCTCCTGGCACCTAGCTCGCTCATTCTTTGGAGGTCTCAATTTACTTGAGAATAATTTCCTTAATGAAACGAAATCTCAATTTTGCAGAGACAGGGACGGTTACAACCAAGATTTAGGTATGCTATAGATCAGGCCAGCCTCATTCAGGAGCCCCGATCTGCCAATGTACAGTTCAAGGGGTGAGTCATTTTAAAACCTCACAGCCTCACGTCATTCAACTGTAAAAGGATGGTTATTAACACTTGCCATGAAATATGAACACTGTATTGGTGGAAATATTTATAAATGCTCAATAAACGGTATCTGGTAAAACTGTATAAGTGCAGGCATGGGGTCTGGTAGATTCATTACGACCAGAATGTCTTAAAGGCAGTTTTACTCACTACAGGGCAGACATCCAGAGAGGTTCATGATGTTTCTCAGGATTGGCACTATGAGGAAGGATCTAGGGCTTCTAGAATCTGGTAGGTGGAGGCCTGGAATGCTGTTAAACGTGCTGCAATGCGCGGGACAGCCCCCTTAGTAATTACGTAACACAAAGAAAATCTGTAGCGCCAACCACGAATGTGGGACTCGCCAGACATCACCAGTGGAATCGGTGGCTGTTTCCCTTGCAAGGAACACCAGCCCTGTCCCCATCTTGGACCTCCTTTCCTTGAAAACAAAACCTCTGTCCTTTGCACCATGGCTCTGGGTCAAACCCTTAGCAAAGGCAAACAAACAAGGCGGCCCTGAGCTGTGCCTTGGCAAGCCAGTGGCTACAGGAAATCCACTTCTTTCTCTTCCCTCTCCATTCCTTTCTCCCTGCCTGGGGTTACTGGAAACTGAAGACTTAAACATGGGAAGCTTGTCCGAACTGATCCTGCAGAGAATGCTCCTGGGCCCAGAGTTTGCCTCATTCCCTGGACATGACTGAACCTGCACCTTCATCATCAAAGTAAGAGTCGATGTTGAATCCTGCAACGTGTCCTAGAGTGACAGGTGCCGTGGGCTGTACACATCAGTATGTAGCTTCAGCCAAGCTAAGGAGCACGTCCCCTAAGTTGTGTAATGCATTCCATTCCCTTTGAATTAAGAGAGGTCAGAGGCTTAGAGGAGTGAAAGGATTCAGCTATGTGTACGCAGCCAGTAACTGGTGGGACACGCTCTAAGACCAGGTCAGTCTGACCCCAGACGCTCTGGCTTGAACTCCAGGCTTTGTGCTTCTCTGTAACACCTGGGGACTTGTGAAGGTGGAATGAAGGCTCTGCTCCTAGGTTTCTGAGATGACAGATCTTGCGATGCAAGGAGTTTCAGGTGAGGCTGCTGCCGTGGGCTTGAATTTTAATCACTCAGCTCCACCCCCTGCAACTAGGCAGCAGCTGGGAGAGCAGCACTCCCCCCAACGCCTCCCTATTCCCAAGCATTCTCAGTGTCCTCATAAAGACGTACCTCCTTAGGGATGAGCCAATGACTCCCCTTGTAAGGTTGCTAGGTGAAGGTCCACCTGCCAGAGTCTTAGTGTGTTTTTGTTAACAGGAAAAACACAGCAGGCTAAGTAATGTATGAAGAACAGAAATCAACTGCTTACATGTCTGGAGGCTGGAAATCAAAGCTCAGGTACCAGGAGCTTCCGTGGTCGGGAACGCAGCTCTGTGCTTCCAAGGGGGTGCCTGCCCCGTGCTGCTGCTTCTGGGGAACAGGAACACCGTATCCTCCAGTGGCAGAAAGGCAAGCGTACTGAAAGGCTCGGAAAGTCTTTGTTAAAAACGCCTTACCCCTCTTCACCAGCGAGGAGCTGCCTAGGTCTAATGGCTTCTTGAAGACCCCGCCTCTTAATTCTATCACACGGACAACACCTGTACCTGGGAGGGAGGGGCCTATTCCCAGCACAGCACAGGAGTAAATCTGAATTTCACACAACGCATCGCTGGTTCCTAGAACACTGCTCCCAGTGTTACATGGCATCTACTTCTAGCAAGGTAAACCTGAAATTCAAACTTACCCAATCAAACTGTTGGACATGTGTAGACAGCGGGATGCTGGACTGACACTGGACCAACAATGTCGGGGTACACTTAAATAAGAGACTGATGGAATTATGATTCCTTATGAAGGACTACACTATTGTAACAAAATGGGAAAAATCTGACGGGGGAGGGGAGTTTGGAGGGGATCTCAGTCTATACGAAATTGTATCACATTATTCAAAATTCAAAATAAACATATACTTTAAAAAAAGAAATTCAAATTTAGTTGGCAGCAAAGAGGGGGAGTGTCTTAGATTTTTCTCTTTGCTAAATCTGGCAATCCAATACTATTGCTTTTGAAAGAAAAGTTTGTTCATCAGGATGGAAGTGACATCCCCCTGCCCTGCATCCCAAAATCCTGCTCAAATACCACGTCCCTCAGCAAGTTTCTTTTCCTCTTGCCATGAGGAAGAGGGAATAGGGATAGGATTTTTCCAAGAGTCCCTGCCAGCGAGTCAGGCGGGGCCACAACTTGCATGAGGTACAGAATGCAGCTTACGTCACACCTGCACCCACTCAACACAACATCTACCCCTTCCCGGGCACCTCCAGCTGCCTGCTCTTCCGAGGCCCCTGGAGAACGGAGCTTGTTGACACGGTACACCTGCCTGGGACCAGGAAAGGCCCGAGTCCACCACACCCCTCGCTGCCGGGAGGCCCTAGAGAGGGTGGCCCAGACCTGCCTAGCAGAATAGACTCCCGGCAAGAAGGAAAAGGCGGAGGAGTAGGAGACGTCTTGATGACAAACATAAACTTTTTCAAGTCCCTTGGGGAGGATCTAGTAGAACGTGGTAGGCTCCCCCTCCCAGTCTCACGGGCCACACCCGCTTAGCCAGCTGTATGCACTGCCTCCCCAGCGAATGAGACTGACAGACAGAAGGGAGGTAAACCCCACCCTTTTCTGAGCCTCACAGTGCACCAGCACAGAACTGACATTAATTTCGTTGAACCTTTCAATGGCCCTGTACGGAAGGTTTCAAGATGGTCACCTCTGGAGGCTGGGCCACGTTGAACTCGATCTTGGTCTCTAACCTGGCTTTGCCCAATGGCTGTGAGGTTGAACCATTTGAAAATGCCATGTTCGTTAAATAAAGCCAAGTCTTGGCAATTTCTCATTGTATAACCTTATGATTGTATGATTGTTTCATTTCCTTGAATTTCTGCTTCTGTATCATTAGCATAGAATAAAAGCATCTTTTTGATGGTGGTGGTAGTAATTAAGTCCTATAAATATATACATTAAACTGTTGGCACACTGATAGAGTCAAGCACTAAATAAATGGGACCATCAACAACATCATCATCATCGTTGTCACTATTTTGCTACTCAAAGCCCAAGTCAAGTCACTTGTCAGTGAGCCAGGAGTCCATGAAGACAGCTGGTAAATCCTACATACATTCCCCTCCTAGGCCCACCTGCCTAGGAATCAGTATCAACCCACGGAACTTTCTGAAACCACAGAAATGTTACATGCTGTCTAGTTCAGCAGCCACCAGCCACGTGTGGCCCTCCGGAACTTGAAACCCACACAGAGCATTCCAGAACTAAATGCCTTGTTTCACTTCACTTTAATTCATTTCAAGTAGGCACATGTGACCAGATGTTACATTCTGGACAGTGCAGGCACAGGCCATCCTTCTTGTGCCTCGTGGTGTCCTCAGCTCTGAGGTCAAGGGCAGTGCTTGGCCTTTTGGGAGGTAAGTAGAATCAAGGAAGGAAAACATTACCGGCTCAGGGCCAGCACTGTGGCTTGACAGGTAAAGCTGCCACCTGCAAGGCTGGCTTTTCATACAGGTGCCAGATGCTCCACTTCTGACACAGCTTCTTGTTAAAGCAACTGGGAAAGCACTGGAAAATGGCCCAAGTGCTTGGACCTCTGCACCACTGGGAGATCTGAAGGAAGGTCCTGGCTCCTAACATCAGCCTTCAGGTAGGCACAACCCTGGCTGTCATGGCCATTTGAGGAGTGAACTGGTAGAAGGAAGATCTTTCTTTCCCATTCTCTGTTACCCTACCTTTCAAACACATAAGGAAATCCTTTAAAAAAAATTACCTCTGTCTGTCACCCCAATCTGACCCAGAAGCTAGGGTGGAATTTCAGGCTGATATGTACAGCCTTGGTAAGAGATGTCAAGATGAACCACGGGCTAGAATGGCTTCCTTTGGCAAAGAGAGGGAATAAACCTATCAGGGTATAAACCACAATTTCCACATGCCAAATACTGGAAAAAGGAGTGTCTCCCTCATGGCAGGGGTTCCCAATCTTCACCCTCAGAAGCTGCCGGGCTCTCCCAGCTGTGTTGGCCTAAGGTCCTACACATCAGGTTTTTGAATCTGGAAGCCGAGGCT